GTACAATTGATTAATTTGTATAAATTTATTATACCTTATTTAATTCTGTTGTAATACCTGCTGAGTTATTTAGAATTTTCAGAGTTACAAACATATTTTGATCCGCTCTTTTCCAATTTAGATTTTTATCATCCCATTCAATTGTGTATCCATCAATCCATTTTGCTCTATACATTTTACCAATCTCATCAACATATATATCATAAAGTTTACCATAAAGTATCCATTCTAATGCATTTTTCACCTGATAAGTATGTTCTGATAGCTGAGTATTTTGAATGAATTTATCAATATAATTATTACCACTAGTCCAATTTTTGAAATTTCGTTGAAAATGTATTGAAATACACATTTCATTACATTTTTCACATATATCATCCAAAACCACCATATAATTCTTGGTTTCTGGATCTTGAGTTATTCCATAAACTTTATGAATTCCTGCAATCTACAATATATTAAAGTTAGAAATATTAGTAAAAATCAATTTTCTAACTATTTATTTTTTAAACAACTGACAATTTTTTTACAATACAATATGATTAATTTATATTTGATAAATTTATTACCCTACCTTATTTATAAGTCCTAACGTAATATTTGCTGGATTATTTAAAATTTTCAGATATACAGCCATATTTTGATTTCTCCTTCTCCAATTTTGATTTTTATCATTCCAATACCAAATACATCCATCAATCCAATTTTCTCTGTACACTTTGTCAATCTCATCATCTTCTGCAATATATGTATAAATTTTATCATAAGGTATCCATTCTAATGCATTTTCTACCTGATAATAAGCATGTACTGATAGCTGAGTATCTTGAATAAATTTATCAATATGATAATTTCCACTAGTCCAATTTTTGAAATTTAGTTGAAAACGCATTGAATTACACACTTCATTACATTTTTCACATTTAACTTTCAAAACTGCCATATAGCTCTTGGTTTCTGGATCTTGAGTTATTCCATAAACTTTATGAGATATTGCAATCTACAATATATTAAAGCTAGAAATATTAGTAAAAATAAAGTTTTTAATTATTTGTTTTTTAAATAGCTGACAATTTTTTTCACAAATGGTACAATACAATGTGATTAAATTATATTATAATTCACAAAAAAAAAATGAAACTTTTGATAAATTTATTATACCTTTTTTAATTCTGTTGTAATACCTGCTGGGTTATTTAGAATTTTAAGAATTACAAACATATTTTGATCTGTTCTTTTCCAATTTTGATCTTCATCATCCAATTTAATGCATCCATCAATCCATTTTACTCTGCATACTATACTAAAGTCATCATCATCTGCAATATATTCTACATCATACAGTCTATCATAAGGTATCCATTCTAATGCATTTTGTACCAAATAATGTACTGATAGCTGAATATCTTGAATGTATTTATCAATATGATAATTTCCACTAGTCCAATTTTTAAAACTTCGCTGAAAATGTATTGAAATACATACTTTTTCACATTTTTCACATTTACCATTTAAAACTACCATATAATTCTTGGTTTCTGGATTTTGAGTTATTCCATAAACTTTTTGAGGTACTGCAATCTACAATATATTAAAGTTAGAAATATTAGTAAAAATAAAATTTTTAACTATTTATTTTCTAAACAGCTAAAATTATTTTAACAAAATGGTACAGTACAATATGATTAATGTATATTAATTTACAAAAAAATGAAACTTTTGATAAATTTAGTATACCTCATTTATAAATTTTAATGTAATACTTGATGGATTATTTAAAATTTCCAGAAATACAAACATATTTTGATTATATTTCCAATTTTGATTTTTATTATTCCAATAATAAATACATCCATCAATCCAATTTGCTCTGTACACTTTGTTAATCTCATCATCTTTTTCAAAATATATGTCAAGTTTATCATAAGGTATCCATTCTAATGCATTTTTTACCGAATAATAATAAGGATAATAAGTATGTTCTGATAGCTGAATATCTTGAATGAATTTATCAATATCATTATTACCACTAGTCCAATTTTTGAAATTTCGTTGAAAATGTATTGAATTACACATTTTATTACATTTTTCACATATATCATTAAAAACCACTATATAGTTCTTGGTTTCTGGATTTTGAGTTATTCCATAAACTTTTTGAGGTACTGAAAACTACAGTATATTAGAGTTAAAAATATTAGTAAAAATAAAATTTTAACTATTGGTTTTTTAAATAACTGACAATTTTTTTCACAAAATGGCACAGTACAATATGATTAATTTATATTAATTTACAAAAAAATGTAACTTAAGATAAATTTATTATACCTTATTTAATTCTGCTGTAATATCTGCTGGATTATTTAAAATTTTCAGAGTTATAAACATAT